AAGACGATAAAAATAAATATAACCTGAACATAATTAATGAAATGGCCAAAAACCAAAATAAAACTGTTTTACGACTGCCTCCTTACCATTGTGAGCTCAATCCGATTGAGCTCATTTGGGCAGACATAAAAAATATGTTGCAGCAGAAAATAAATGTTTTAAATTTTCTGACCTTAAAAATATTTGTCATGATGCTATACAAAGAATAACACCGAATAAGTGGGAAAATGTATCAGCATGTAAAATAATAGGTCGAACCTAAAATGTGGGAATTAGACGGTATCATTGATACTCACGTTGCCCCTTCAATCATAAATCTTGATGACAGTGGTAGTTCCACGGCCTCACATATTTTTATTTTCAAATATATGTATTTCCGGTTTTAAAGGTAAAATGTCTGTGCAATAAATTTTTGTATAATATTTAGTATATATTATTATGTATTCAAATCGTGTTTCTTTCAACTCCACATAACTATTCATTTTTTAGTCTAATATTAAAATTAACTGTTTGCACACTGACGTCCCTCCCTGTTCAAGCGGTTGTTAGGTATACTTGTATGCATATGCAATTATCGTTGTAATGTGTCTGCCTGCTATATAAATGCGCCTTACGACACGTTTCAAGTATAATTTCTTGATAAAACAACAATCGACAGTTATTTTAAATAAAAAAATACATCAATTCCAAGCTTTACGTTTGGGCCCTATACATGCCTGCAATAATTTTGCTTACTTTTTGATCGTGTCGTAGAACCACAAATCATGTATTCTTAGTTCGGCCCTGTAACGTGCTCGGCGTTCTGGAGCGCGATCGCGTGGAGTTTACGTGAATATGTTTAGGTTTGGTCTCTTTGTTCGATGGATAGATAATAGTAATTTTTGTTCAAATACGTTTAGCAAAACATTATTGCTTACAGCACCACCCAATAGCTATGTTATAACGTATGCCCTCCATTTTTAATTTACGTTGTCTATATTCTGAACTATTTTACAAGCTGTACTTCTACCCCCACAAACTTAAAGGCACGTCTCTACACCATCTCAGCTTCGCGATAATTTTTACAGCGATCCCGTTAGTAAGACAAACATCTAGCGCAAAATTGGAAATGCGCATCACAATTACCGACGTAACCCGCTTTCTGGCACGTTTTGCCTTGATCATTTACGATAGATATTTACCCTGCTTGTATCCCCCGAATATCGGTTTTATTCATCGTTGAAGCTGCTGCACGTGGCTTGACAACGCGCATGAAAAGGAAGTCCTTGCACGTCGCTGATGGACGAGAAGTAGTGTGAGAGCTGGGTACCGTTTTCGAGATGTATTATTTCTTTCCAAAAGGTCGTAAATTTGCTGTTGAAATTGGTGTCAGTATCCGATAATTATAATCACGATGTCGGTACCTGACATGGATTCCTGCTCATTTTATCAACGATTTACCACACCACATCACTGAAGGTGGAGTATTTTTATATGCAAGTTGTGTTACTGTTTTAGTTTCTGCTGCATCTGAAACAAAATTGCAGCTGAACACAGCGCTCCGAGATCTTGCTAACTGCTGTAATCAAAACAATTTAATGATTAATCACGATGAAATAGTAATTATGCATATAAGATCTGTCAAGAAGAAAGCTTGTAATGCTAACTTGTCCCTTAATGATCACAACATCGAAGTCTCTATGTCTACAAATTGTTTGGGTTTAGTAGTAGATTTTCGTCTTAACTGAGAAACCCAAACAGTGTTTGCAAAAAGCTAAACATGCACAAGTGCTTTCGTCATAAATAGGTTAATAGATGGGTCGTGAAATCTTAATTTGTGCTATGCATTTATATACTTGGACTTATCATGTGGTATCGTTGTCAGGGGACACCCCTCAACTATCGACAATTTCGTGAAAAAGAATTATAAGAAACATAATAGGTATATCGTTCAGAATGTGATATTCCAAGAAATAACAATCCTTGACTGTCTACCAATTTATTTGCTAAAACTACTAACCTATTCTCATAAAAACAAATGTACTTTTCAGAAAAGCTCGCATTTTCATCATTATAATACGAGGAACAAGAACCAATTTTGATAAGCATAACTAAAAGTCGCCTAAATACGCTGGTATACGAATATACAATTATTTACCGGACCCGATTGAATAAACTATATATAACGTTAAGCTCTTTCAAAGAAGCACACTAAGAAGATGCTCTTATTCAACACTTTCTATAGCGTAGTTGAATTCCTTGTTTTTTTTTATTGAGGACACTGAAGTAATATAATTATCAGGAAGCCCATAAACTTGGTATTCACATGCACCTTTTAATTATTTTGTATTCAGGTTTTTTGTTGCTCTTTTAGTTTGACTTTTATTTCGTCCGTGCTTTTTCAAAATATTGTATGTTATACGTATGATGTTATCCTGTCTATACTTACATATGTATAGTGTTCGGTTCTAATAAAGAAATTTGAATTTGCATGTATTCAAAGAACAAGAAGGAACAAGTTCCCGTAAGGATTCATCCTCTTTTTGTGCTGACGTAGCCACGAAGGCAGAGCACCGCCACTGTAATAAGGCCGTGGTTATACTATGAGGTGGCAGGCGACCAGTTGCGGGGCATAGGCGACAAGCCACAGTTGACGAGTGATGATCCATTCATACTTGTCATACTTTTCAGTGCCGAGCGTCGGCTGCGAGTTTCAAACCGTAAAAAAAAGAGCAAGTCGGAATATCTCAACTAAATATTGCCATAAAGGTTCGCCAGATGGGACAGATAAGGTTAAAGCATATAATTATATTACACTCTATTCAAACGGTGGTTAAGCAATCCTCGTAGTCAATTGTCTTACTATGCCGCACTTGATCGAGAGATGTTTGTTTTGGCAAAGCCGTAAGTGCTATTTGAATAGGGTATGTAAGCCATACAAATTGTTCAGTCAAATATACTCCTTAAAATTTCCCGAAAAGTATAAAAGTAGCATCACAGAGTAGTCTACCATCGCCAATGTCGAGTACCATCCAACACCTGAGGCCAGCCTTAGCCTAAGGAGCTTAGATTCACCTTGTTTATCCAACTTTTAGACTGCCTAAGGTTAGCAGAACTAGGAAAAGCCTGCTTTGGCAGATTGTTCCGCGATTTCGATGCCCCAGAAACAAAAGAGAGATCGTACATGCCAGTCATGTACGTACTACAGAGCTGGGATATGAAGCAGACGTCTGGCGGGTCCATCTAGCAAGTTCAACGCGTGAAGGTATTGTGGAAGACAGCTCTAAGGAACAAAACCTGTTGACATGGCGGTAGAAGACAGCCAGAGCTAGTGGCAAAAAATGAAACTTCATTTTTCGTCGTTTGAAAAGAGAAGTGTGGAGTCAACCTACTCGAAGCAAGTTTTTAAATACACCCATTGTAACAACTAAAAATCAAGCAAATGTACCACAATAAATTAGGATAGTTTGTATTATTTAATGAAATGAGTTTAATTCGATAAAAACCAAAAATATAAATTCGCAAATCATGATTCTCGCAGCATTACTTCTGTCTTATTGTATATCAGACACGCTTTCCGCGAAGTCTGTTATCTATTTTAGACATAACGAGGCATTTATCGCCTTCATAAAAAACATAAATGATAAATATTTATACTGGTTTATGGCGGAGATAAATGAGCTTTACACAGCACACAACACATACATGTGCATCTATTATGTATGTCGGTTACCGGAAAAATGAAGAGTCACTATACCTACTGTTTGCATTGTTGTATGAACACCACTTACCTACAAATACTGAAAGATAATGAATACAAATACTTTGGAAAAGTAAAATGCTTTTTATAAAGCGTATTTTTTTCAATTTTGAATAGCATGAGGAATGTCTCGCTATTTCTTTTGGTTAAATGAGTATTTACTCGTATAATAGGGTTTCTATCATTTAAGGATTGCATGTGATCAAACGATTCTCCAAGATCAAGGCCTTAAAACACATCAGATATTAATCCCCGATGTTTGAATAAAACCACATATATGCTTAAAATTCCTTTTTATTGTACGTCGTTTCGGTCCCAATGGTGACCTTTGTCAGGTACACTTGTCGCATTTAACGATACTTATAGTTTGTTTATTCGTCTACCAGGTGACACATAATTTATTTCTTTTTTTCGTCCACACATTCCTATACAGTTTTTGGTTGTTTGCATAATAATAATAATATCCCCTAAGATGCTTTGTGATTATGTTAATGGGTGTTCGAAGGATATTTAGGGGCTTCGACAACATTAAAATTTTTGTTCTTTCATGTTGTTTTTCGGAGTCGAAAATGGCATATTTTGTACTTTATCGAATACTACATATAGATCGATTATATCCCGAGAACTAGAGCTACTACGGACAATGAAAGACATTATTGAAATTAGCATATTAGGTATTGTAATCCGGAAAAAGCTCGAAAACAAGATATTACGTTTTTTTAATGTTACATGACATGTTCATCACGAAAAACCATGTCACTCATTTCCGTCGGTATGTCGGACTGTCTGTCTGTCTTCTCGCTAATTCGTCTTCCGTCTAGAAATTGGAAAGTACTATTCAGATTCTGAAGAAGTTTTCACACTGAGTTACTACAAAGCCAAGGACGAAAAAACGTTAATCGGTTTTTGAAAATCGGCTCAGTGGCAACAGAGAAAAGTTGCCCTAAAGGCTTAGAGAGAAATACTTGCTATCTAGAATCACTGGCGAATCCTTTGTGGACTGATGATGATGTTGTGTGGGAAGTGCCTATTTGACGCCATTTTGCTTATTATTTGTAAGCAGTATATATATATTTATTTGTGTGGAGTACATCATCCAATTGTCTATCGCAGCTTCGCACAGTGGTACAAATTCACGAGGTCTTACTTGCAATGGCCCTGTCTCATAGATCAGAGTAAATTTAAACGATGACTTACTGTTCATAAACCCGCCTTTAAACGCATATTTTATCCCCTCGATAATTCATCCTTTTTTTTGCAGTACATAATACACAGCCGTCTTTTAACATCTCGCACCGGGTACCTCGCCAAGCCGTTCCTGATCTCTCTCTGCCTGTCCTGGTCGCTGATATGCTCGCTGACCAGGATAACAGACCGACGCCATCATTGGTGGGATGTTCTGGCAGGCGTCTTCTTGGGACTAGTTGGTGTGACATACACGATATGTTTGGTACGGAAAAAGATGGACTCCTACGAAGACGACGAACCTCCAACTAAGATAACGACGTCGACGACGACGTTACTGGATGTGAAAAACAAAGACGCGACTAGTGTTATTATTTAATTTACGCTGAGGATCAATGAGTGACTATTGATACCATTTTTTGTTTTTTTTTTTGTTTTTGAACTTCCAGGTGTGCGGGGACCAAATGGTTAATAACTTGAAGAAATGTTTTACACGTATATACCATTATTGTTTTAGATGACACATCATAGTTCAGTAGACTAAAAGGCTGGCAAAAAAACGATTTGTTAGGTTGGTGGACCTTGGAAGGTCAACGGCCATCCTAACAAATAAACACTTATTACTCCTTTATTTAATGGATAAGTTGAACAAATAAGTTATTGACACTTTGTTCTAATATTTAACTTGAACCGTTTCTGTTTATTGCAAAGTTATTCAGTATATATTTAAGTTTCATTAAAGGTTCCAAACAAGGCCGTTCTTTAACTTTAAACTATCGTTGTGATATATCATTGTGAAATACCATTACCTGCAAAGGTCTTTTATCAAAATGAGATGTTAAATACTTACAACAAAAATGCTCAATGACTTGAACGCTATCGTAAAACTTTATACAGATATCAAATAGGTTGTGAATAACCTTTAAAGGTAAAAGAACACTTTTAACCGACCAAAGTTTCCTTATAGTAGTTTATTTACTTGAAAACCCAAAATCTTCTGCTGCTGTGTGCTAAGATTAATTTTAACGCCGATGCCGACAAAGCGAGGTACCTCATTAACAAAATACGTGTGTCTTTGAGTTCGATGGATGTGTGAGCTGAAGGCATTTCTTCTGGAATGACAAGGAGCATGGCCTTTCATGGTCCACCCACCTTTGAGCATTTATTTTTTAGAATCGCGGATTTCGAATACGGTGTTAAGTTTGTGTGTATGAGGGCATTTCAGGGTCACTGCAAGGTCATGTCAAGGCATTTGCAAAAGCAGCCGATCAGTTGAGCCCAACCGTCTGTATTGAGGTTCTTTTGGTCGTTGAGTCCGAATCATATATCATTCAGTTACTGCAACGGCATTTGAAGATCATTTCAAGGTCACTTCACGAACAAATTCAAAATACGTCTAGGGTGCGAGTCCAGAAGCGTGTCTTGACGTTTTGTGGTCGAGTTCAAATCAGAGATCAGTTTGTCTCTAGGAGGACATTTGAAGGTGATTTTAAGGTCACTCAAAAAAGGTTAAGTATATGAGATTGTATTTCTCAATAATTTGTAAAAGTTAACAAGAACCGCAGTACTCCACGGTCCACGAACATGATTAATATTAATTCGGGCAAAGGGCAGAACATTATCAAAAACTTGCCCTAACATAAAAAAGTGAAGGTAAAGATAGTAATCAGTTCAATACACGAAAAGAACAGTTTTACAACAAATTAATGGAAGTTGGTTCTCTCTTTATATGATGATCCATACATATAGATATTCAATCTTTGAAGAAGCAATAAAATGCGCCATGCTCTCCAGTTAAAAGGTAGTATTGATCGAATTATGTACCACAACCATCAAGCTTAATAGTCCGTCATGGTAAAGCTGGCGAAGTTCCGATTCCTTGGCCAACTTATTATTATTATTAATTCCTAAATAGTCAATGAATACCATTCATTATCCTTATTTTGTTTCTTGAAAGTTTGCCACGTTTTCGAATAAATAAATCACTGTGAGTAACTCAGACTGATGTATGATTGGAGTAAATATTTGACTACCATATTCAGATGTATCAGCAGGCTTATTATGTAACTTATAGGATAATTTTGCTGTAAAATAGTTACTGCAACGAAATCGCATTGATTTGATTTTTGATCGACTCACAGCAACCTTCATTCAATTTATGCATTGGATTTTCTGTAAAGCTAATCGTAGGCGCATTCAAAAGATTTCGTGTAGTTTCCCAAATAAGGTTTTACATGTTATTAAAATGCTTCTGTAAGCATAGCGCCTTTTAGTCACAGTATTCTTAAAAGGGTATCCCGCACTCCCGATGTGAAAAATTTGTTTTTTCAGTACGTAAAATTTATAAGGAATGTAGGCTTAGATATTATTATTTATTAATACTTGAGGACCTAGTCGAAAATATGAACTTAAACTTGGTTTCTCTTTTTTTGATACTGAGAATGATTTTCGAGTCCTAGAAAGTTTGTTATCCGAACCAGAATGATTGTAAGGAAAGTAACATAGATGCTTCGAGATAGAAATTTTCTTTGTAAATATGTACATTTTTTTATTGATGATATTACCATAATTTATGTTTTAGTCATTCCTGTGTATTACGCAAGGAAGGGTGTATTGGTTTTACAAATTATGTTAAAAGTGAACTTAAATTTGTTATTAAGAAACATTAGAACAGAAAATATGTGTAAGCTATCAGTATTCTTTGTTTCCTTCATCAGCAAATGTGCGTTTTAGGTCAATACAGGAGATACACATATTGATAGCGATTTCTTTTGTCAATTAGCTGGCTTTTCAGTACTGCCGCAAAAGAAACGTTTTGTCATCAAATTGTATCGACATATTTATTACAATGTAGCAGTTAGTTTAAAGCTTGGATGAGCGCATGAGTATTATTATCCTATATTTGTGCAGCAAATAAGAACAAAAATGTCTATGATGCAAACATACATAAATGCTCTTAGATTTGTATTGGTTAATTCATGACTATGATGTGAGGTTTTATAAGCACTAACTGTTTTTGGAACGAAATGTAAATTTTTCATTTTTTTGACACTATACGTGAACAACGTGTTCTTGAACAAATCGATATTTTGAATAGACTCTGCTTTTCAGACTCCTACTTATTTTTTGAACTGGTTAAGAAGCTCAAATTCGGGATGATAAAATTGATTACTGTATTTTAGTGTAAAAGTAACAGATGATATTTTCAAGATGGCGGCTGCGTGTCATGTATTATTTTTTTAAATGGAATGGGAAGTCAGGTCATACCTTATTTTGAAGCATCCGATGAGTTTTTTATAACTCTAAAATATAGAATCACTATCTTCCAAAATGGCGATAGAATTGAGAATTTTTGTAGACTGAATTGCTTATAACTAGTCAACATATGATCAAAACGTTGTTATATATTGCATAAATATTCGTTTTTTAAAGGAGTATATCTGAATGTGCAATAAAATATAAGACATATCCTGTAGATCCTTCCAGTAAAAGGTTTTGATGATTGGTTATTGGATTTTATATTCTAGAGTTATGAATAAGGACTTCAAAACACTAAAACGATAAGGCTCACTCATCGATCTCATTACCTGGAATTTCATTTTTTTATCTTGACCCGTTCAAGAAGTAAGTAGATCCTTTTGAAAAACACTATATGCATTATATCGAAGATCTACATACTTTCTCACAGAAACTCGCTTTATGATAGAGTATAATATCACTCTCCCATGTGTTACTTACAGTTACTGTCTTTCGTCTTAAGATCACGTAGTTTTAAAGCTATATTGCTTCTCAGACACCATGTAGATAATATAAAATGTGCAACAGGATAGCACCTCCCGAAACAGCTTTATTACTTTATGGTTTTTATTTTTGCATTTTTATAAAATGCATCGTTTGGCTACTCCAGTATTTGTTGTTGGTGACTGTTACATCACGACTCCTTACTATCTGTAAATACTTGTAGGCTTATAAGAAATATAACTGATTTTGTATAGTGATGCCTTATTCATTTATCACGAGCATCAGAAGCACACAAAACGATGTTTACATTTCACAAAAAGAAGACGCTTTATTTTCATGTGAGCTGAAATAGCTGCCAAAGCAGCACCTATGCACCAGAATGCCGCGAGCTCTATAATAATAATAATAGCTTTATTGTCCACCATTTAGAGGACAATTAAATGAAAATAACAAATAATAAAAGAAATCAAGCACAGTTGTAAAAAAACAAAAACGACAGTAAACAAAAGAGTACAGACGCTTAAGAGATCGTTTGGTATAGGATAAATTGGGGATAACCTTTTTCAGAATATTGCCTGCTTTCTCAATATCCAATATCCAGGACTCAACTAATTTGGTGTGAGAAACACAGTGTCCATAAAAGATGTCGCGGATGTATTTTTGTTTGTTTCTTATTCAAACATCGGTTTAGTAGCGGCGGATAAAAAGGCCAAAAAATGAATATTAAAATCGCTCAAACATAATTTTTCAACGTTTCAGAGTTGTAAAGGGGGTGCGGGAGAGTGTCACAATTTTTTGGTACATATATTTATAAACTTTCTACTCGCCTATTAGGCATATTTCACAGGTAACCCGTATATGATTCAAACATTTTATATATAAAGTGCACTAGCCGCTGCTCGCTCTCGGGCAGAGATTGACACGAGGAAGTGCGGCTACTAGGGTAAGATTATCGAATATAAATAATCAGATAGGATGACAACATTAGGGCTGTAGTTATTCAGGTGTGAAGTAACAAAGAGACGTTCACTAATCTTCTGCAAATATGAATATATATGGTGGAATGAAGAAGCAAACAATACCAAGTTGTCCTCGACTATTTCAAAAAGAAAAGTCAATACTTTTTCTCCAATCATATTAATTACCTATATTACATGACCAGCTGTAAGGGTTTCCATAGCCGACCAAAGTTGACTTACCAGAACGTACGAAAGTTGATTCAGATACTTCTAAGCCCATAATTTCATTATTCGCCATATTAACAATGCCTTTTTTCACTGATATTAATTAAACTGCAAGGTATAAGGATTTTAATCGCCACCAAACAAGATTCCAGATCGCACAAAAGTTGACTCGGACATTATAAGTGACCCGTATACAAAGTCCATTTGTCCAGAGTTCCTTGGGAAGTACAGAGCCAACCTACTTGACACTATTTTTTTATATCAAAAGAATTCAAGTCTGAGCATACATGGGACATTATACCTGGATAACGTTCGCAACGGCCTAGTATTATTACTGCTGGCTATAATAGCCGTTATATGTCTGTACCGTAATTTAAGATAAATAATACGTTCCTCATTCTTCGAAAAATTGGCAGAAGACGGGTGAACCTCTGGTGATTATTTCAAACTTAGTAACTGCTGGGCTTATGTTGTCAACGTATCCGATCATTCATATTCAATAAATTTTATTTTGCTGGTAAAAGGAATGCCTGCTTGAACTGTTCCTTCACTTGGTGTTAAAATTGATGCAACAACAACGTGTATGACATTATGTTCAAAAGGTTAGTAATACTATCTAAATTACACATTTTTCAAGAATAAGGCGTTTTTTACTCATACCAAAGATGCAACCTTCACAACGTCTTACTCTTGTGATTGTGTTTTTTGCCAGTAGTTCCGCCGCCACTAGATTGACTTTCAAAAAATACGTCTTCGTCCTTGGTATAGTGCAGCAGTAAGTCAAAATTTGATCAAAATCAAAGCGGTATGTTATGGAAGAGCCGAAGATTACCGAACAGACCGTTGACCGATGATGAAAATGAGTGACACTAATAAGACATAATATCCCATTTTCGGAATTATTCACGTGTACAATATTTCTTCGCCGCGTGGGAAGTAAAACTAATATTTCATCGCAAGAATCCCAAAACCAATTTACTTGACTTTATTTTTCTCAGGCTCGTTATAAGGTTCCCCCAACTGTCGTCCGAATTCATTTTTCCAGCAGAGGGTTTATTGATTTCCGAATAGCAGGCTATCTGCAGCAGCACGTACCTCTTGAGCTATTTCGCAGTGCGTAGTAGATGCTATTATAGCATGGGAACCCCTATACCACAAGATTTATCACCTTATTTCATCATATTTTTATGGGTGCCTTGGCATGCTACTTTGTGCAATAAGGTGACAACCCATGATTCAAAATTGGTACCTTTTTATTCTTGAGAGTATGGTACGTATGTACCATCAGAAATGAAATGCGGAGAAATCCAATTGCCAATACTCATTCACACACGGTGGATTCGATTTACAGACATTCTCACTGGAAATCACTGACTGGAATTGCATCTATCATTTTCAAAACATGGGGCGAAAATTCAAAATATGATTCTCTGGGCCATTCCAAGAATACTCTACTCTTCATCAATTTCAGAAATAATTTTTGAGATTACAACGTTTCGAATGAGAAGTTATCTTCAGTCGTCTTCAGGTAAACTGGCATACATGTTCCTTCCACGGGTATTTATACTATTATGGCTGACGTGTCCTGGGTGAGGTGGCTGGTCGGGAGGTGTGCCCTGGTTGTTCAAACCGTAGAGTCTTATATGTACTTTCTTTGAAGGACCGTTGCGGTCTGACTACCGGTAGTGCGTGTTGTTACTTAAGGAAGTACATATTACAAAGAACGCATAACTCGGAACACCTGACCGCGATCTGTCTGCATCCAGCCTTAATCCTGCTGATGATAGCCTCCCATATTGGTTTGATTTCTACGCTGGCATTACTATACACCTTGCTGTTGCTGGATATGTAAGCTGCCTCCTCCAATTTTCAACGGTACCAGTGCGCTCCTTTACGTATGACCTTGGTGTCTTTTAAGTTTATTTCATGGAGTTCTGTCCATGCATGTTCTGCTACCTCTGATTTATCCGTTTCGGCTCGTTGACTGTTAGGTCAGTTCTCCTTTGTCCTCACAGCCAGTGGTCTATTCGCCTCCTCGATGTAAGCTTTTCCACATTCACATGGAACCTGGTATGCGCAGCCCTTGGTGTCCTGATTTTCATTCCTGGGTTTGATTTTTGTGAGAATGTTCCGTAGTGTTCTTTTTCCTGAAAACCTGATTTCGATTCTTCTCATTACGGTATTACGAGGGTGTGCTGCTGTTCATCCCAGATGCTTCTCCTGACTGTAGTATCTTTTTCCAAAACTTCTACTATTCTTCTTGGGTATCCGTTTTGTGTCACATCTTGCGGGTCTCCTCTTCTTGCACGTATGCGCAGATGTCCTTAGCTCCTTCAGCGAGAGCTAGAATTACAGAATCACACCTTTCTCCGTGGTCACAGAATGGCTTGAAGAATAATGTAAGTGTGGCCCTGTGTGTTGGTTTGTTGTTTACTGAGTTTCAAGTTTCCATCTGGCCGTTGGTCTTCGTCACCCCGGCTTCTAGGAATGGAAGGCTGCTGTCGAATTCCTCTTCTATCGTAAACTTCATCGGTGGTCTTAGCCTGTGGAGGTCATCAAGAGGCCGTCCTCATGTCAGTTAGCCAGGATTGGACACAATGGTGGTGCCATTTTCATTCCTCCTTTTTGTACGAAGAATTTTTATTTTATTTGTTAGTATTTGCTCTTCAAACAATACCGTATAATGCAACGATGTTTCGAATGCATAGAAAAAAATAGTTGAGACCTCAAATGATGGAAAAGAATTCACTCAATTAGATCGCCAACGTTGGACCATCGCTAGCGCAATGTTGCTTTTTTATAATAATCACCCAAAAATTATATTGTTGGCAAGCCTTTGCTAAAAGACTGCGATATAATCTGAAAAACGCTTATTTCAGTACTATTTTATCGATCATGAATAAAAATGGAAAAGCCTTTTTCAGATAAACGTCCAGGCTCTGTAAAGATATTATTTGTGCGGCACTTTTATACAGTGTGGGAATATTCTAGTAGTTCATCTCGGCGAAATGAATCAGTTAAGCGTTTTACATGTACCCCACCATGTGAAATTTTAACTTGTTGCTATGGTGTCAAAATTTCATTGGACATGTGGTGTTGTTCAAGTGTTATTTAGAAAAACGCTTCCTAGTGGCGTGATTTTTAGACGTGCATCTCCGAAAGTGGTATTTCTAAGGTCCGTATCGTTAGTCGCCCTACAATTGTAGGGCGCGTTTATGGCCTCCTTGATTGTCATACTCCTTTCTCTCCTTCAAACATTTCTAGATTACACTTGTCCCGTGTCAGCGTCAGCGCTCTCCTATTGTGAAGATATGTTTTCTTTTTAAATTGTAGGAAATTTCAGACTGATAAAACATGATATAACTCAAAAGCAAGCACAATTTGATGCAAATAGATGTTTGTGACATAACCTCAAAATAGAGCGCTGACACGGAGAAGTAGAAAACTATGACAAACAAGGAGGCCATAAAGGCGCCCTACAATTGTAGGGACGACTGACGATACGGCCTAAAATCGCCAAATTGTTTCATGTATTCCAAACAATCGCCCCTTAAACTTTCGGACCGGGATCTGTTCTACCCCGAGCCAGAGCCAGTCAGAGTCCAGGGCGATAGTTGGCCATCCTCTTAGCAGCTAATATAGCACTCACTATATTGTATACAGGGTGTAGAAATTCCAAAAAAATAAACATGTCAATCTCTAGTATAGAGAGTAAACATTACATAAAAATGATGTTACAAGTTCCTGAAAATGTCCTAATGAACGCTCACGCTCGAATATACTGGAAATCAGTTTTTATTAAGTAACCTTTGAACGACACTGTATAATTAACGGACGAAAATCTTGATAAATTAGTTACTTAATGCCCATGAAAAACGATCAGCTCATTTAGATTGCCATGACGGATTATCCATAACGCAATATGTATCGCTGACAATTTTTCACCCAGTACAATGATGGCCTAACCATAATGTTTTTTGAAAGTCGAATGCATAAGCTAGAGAAAAATGTATTCTTGTTTGATTTCGATAAAATGAGTCGTTTTTGGGAAAACAGT